CAAGAATAAAGTTATATTATGAGAACAAAGTTCTATTAGCAGAATAGTTACACTATTCCCAGAATAAGGAAGCAATATTGCCAGAAAAAGCCATTATGAGTATAGGAGCCATGTGTCTTTTCCTGTCTTTATCCACACCAGGGGACATATTTAATTTTGAGTTCAGAGTATGTCTGAAGGGGATAGGGTTATTTAAGTTAAAGTGTGATTCTGTTCAGGTGTCGTAATGGGAAGGGGAAAACTGTTTTCTACTACACTTGTTTTGGATTTATGTCTGATTTATGTGGTTCTAAACAAAAATGTCAAGAGTGATCTGTGATGTGACCAGTGGCTAATACTTTCATTCTGATATATTAAAAGATCAAGTATTTGCTTATTTGTAAAACTAATACCATCTATACCTTCACAAATGATCAGTATTCCCCATTTTAGTACCGTGTGATGTAGAGTTATCAATTTAGGACTTTAGTTTTGAACAACTTTACTCAAATTTAAAACACAAACCAAAAAACTGAAAAAATAGTATGATCCCTACAGGGGGGATGTCAAAAAGTAATTGAGAAACACTGGCCCAGAACAAAAAGTTTTAGTGTGTTAACCCACACTTGGATCATAAGCGTCATGTCTCACTTGCCTGTCTTAATAGTGTTTCTGTTATGAGGCTGCATTAGGACTTATGAGTCTACCAAGTTTGTTTAGTGCAGTAGTAGGATAATCATTAGGCGCACATGTGAGTATGCTTTACCATTAACCAAAAAGAATGGGGTGAAATTTGTAGTGGAATGAACATGAGTGTTGTATGCAAACGCAACCCATTTTATGTGTTCATCCCACTAACCACCTTTTGAATAAAGGTACTTTATAAACTGTCCTTTTATTTATCCATTAGCCCATTCCACCATTCCATCTGACATTACATGATATGGAGATGTTCTTGTTCCTTGTTTTGTGTACTCCCATACATTTACTAAGGCCTTTAGTCAAACTGGCATCCCTGGTCTGTGTGTAGGCTGTGGGGAACAATGTGGCGACTAATGTAGTCTTCAAACAAGCACTTTTGCTAGGTCAGGAAATGCATACAGGTCAATGTACTTTGTGAAATAGTTCATTACAACAAGCA